GGGTGGGGGATGCTTGCGCTTATTCTCTGCTACACTTCACACCTTCGGGCTATAATCTTTTTATTGCCAATTCAATGACTCTTAATGCCAATGGGCTGCTGTCGCTGCTGTTGCTGCCGTTGCTGCCGTTGCTGCCGTTGCTGTTGCCGTCGCCTCGGGCAGCCGAAGTCAAAGTCAGCGACGGCGGTCGCAACAAAAGGAAGCAAAAGCAACGTGTGGCTCGAGCCTGAACCCCTCGAAAATGTGATGAACAGGGTATAAAGTGCAAAGGTATGTAACAGAGGAGCATTTAAAGTGTCTAAATAGGGAAATATAAAGAAGATCAAGCAACAAATCTTCAGAATTATTAAAATTAATTTTATATAATAACAGGACTTAAGTTTATAAATCTATAATCATAGCAAATATAAATTAACTGTCCTCTGGGTTCAGCAATACTCTAAGCACGAATTTTCTTTGGTATCTTCTAGTCGTGTTTACCCCATTAGAGCACGCTCACATGTCCTGCTGCTGCGATTATTGTTGCTGTTGTTGTCGYTGCGGTCAGAATTGAGTAAGTAAGTAACCAATTTTCAAGTGCGCTCAAAGTGTTGCAGTAGGGGTTGAGGCTTGCGGGTTGGATAGTTGGTGGGTTGAGGGTTGAGTGCGGGGAATGCTCGTTATAATGATTTCAATTGAATGCATTTCAATAATACTCGAGTAATTAGTATAATGATGCTTGCCACGCGTTCGCCTTTGTCCCAGCACATTCACTGAATGGCAGAGCTCATTTTTTTGTTGGCACTGCTGATGCGATTATCTGCAAATAGTTTATTGACACACCAAACAGGTATTAGATTACAAAGAACTGAATCGAATGATGAATAGAGATTTTCAATTAACTTGACGGAGTTTGTTTGATTTCGTGCACCCACCACCACCACTCGGCAGGAGACATTGGCTCGTCTTCCTCGCTGTCAGCTCTGTTGTCGATTTTGTTGGTATTCGATTCGCTTTAATGGTTTATCAAAAAGCACTTCAATTGTTTGCTCAGCATTGCTTTACTTGTGCATTAACATTGAGAGTATTTTGTAAGTAATATTTAAAGCGTTCTTTAAGCCAATATTATGAAATTTGAGCCATATTGCGTTCGCTCGTCGTTTGATTGATTTTCGGCAAGTGTTCCTCCGTGTGTTTGCTTTGAGGACACAAAGCTAACATCTCTGAGTGAGCTATGGATTCATCATTTCCTTGTTTAATTGCATTACTCGAGGAGAGACAGCTTTGGCGGATAAGAGAAAACTATAAATGAATACGCTTTAATTGTTGAAAATAATTTTTCATATTTCCGAAGTTTCAATTTATGCGCACAATCCACATAGGCGGTTATGCTCTGCTTGCATTCAGCTTGCACTGCTTTTTAGCATCCACACTTTGACTGCTTGTGCACTTTTGTGTTGCACTGCTTACGTGATGCTTGGCGAACAAGCAGTATTCAGCATTTATTCCGTTACAATTCAAACAAAAAAATGATTTGAATCGACTATTCGATTAGAGCTACGTCTTAATAATCAAACCAATATATAAACAATAATATATAAAATAGAAAATTATAGAATAGAGTGAAGAATGACCGACTGAATGAACGAAGCAGTGAATGAAAAAGTGGTAAGAATTCAATATTGAATTTATAGATGGACTTGTAGAGGAGCTGAAACTTCTACAATTTGCTGTGCACCAATGAGAAATACTTGCTTGCGTCCCGACAGATGATCAACACAAGGCGAACATATATGTGTGCTTTACTTAATATAAAACTAATGATTTGGAATACGATATGATATAGTGAAACGATTCCAGCGATTTCAATATATAAACTGATATTGTTTACATATTTCCTAATAGTAAATAAGAAGTTAAATTAAAGTAATTAATCTATTGCTATACATCTATATCGATAGTGATAGATCCATACTTCCCTCTGTATATATAATATTTATAGGTATAGGTGTGTATTTCATCTACCCATTAGACTCTGTTTACAGGTGCTTGAAGTGCAATAGGATATTGAAGGCGGAAGGAAATCAAATTCCATTTCAAGCAGACGTTGTTCGACGAAACGAAAAGACGACAATCGAAATCAAATTCAAATTGAAGCCGGGATTTGAGTCACTCGAGTGGTATTTTCCACAGGCCGTAAATCAAATGCTTTTAAACGACACGATCTTCACTTTTCGTATACAATTACTCAATTAATTTGAATATAATTGTCACAATTTTCCACTTGAAACGCCGCGCAGCAGAATTGATGGAAATAAAACAGAAACATTTAACCCGATATATATGTATACGTGGTATACATATATACATAGTAGAGACTCTATAGAGTGGAAAATGTAAAATGAGCTCGCGGTTTTTATGTCCACATCAAATGGAAATGAACAACTCAATGAATAAATTCAGCTTCCTCTTCTTCTGTTTTTCTTTTCTTTTTGATATAATGTCAAACTCTTTGGGATATTTGTTGTTTGGGATGAATCCACTTGACAGAGCAAAGATTAAAGACGAGGCGCCCACTGACAGCCGAAAGGCGCAAAGGAAAAGCCAAAGGAAAATCAATTGGAAAATTACGCAATTCGAATGCCATTGTTGTTAATAAATCTTAATTTGCTTACCTAACGCTCACTTTGGCGGCTTCTCGCGGCACAGTTTTAATTGAGGAAATGCAAATGAAAGCGGTGAAAGCAGCCAAAGAGAGAGGAACAGAGAGAGGAAGAGATAGAGAGAGTGAAAGAGAGAGAGGGTAGCTGCGGCTTGCGTCTGCGGCTTGTGGCGCCTTTGATCCTTTGACGCAACATGAATTAAACGGCGCTACAAGCCCAACCACAACGCATCCATCGCTTATCTCACAGATTCCATGTGATATATGGGTAAATGACAAATTTTCCACTTGAGCCACGGTCTAGACTCCAGACGACGACGACGAAGTCGGCGAAGACGAAGACGTCGCAGATATTGTAAGACGAAACCTTAATGTACACAGCGTTATTTCCAGCTTCGATCCGTTCTTCTTGCTCTTGTTCTTGCTCTGGTCAGTGTGGTCCATTAGGCAACATTTAGAGGTACTTGACATGCCTCGGTTCAGCCCAAGCAGGGCGCAACATGTCCTTTGGGGGCGTTTTGTTTGCCACTGTGCTGACCACGCCCCCGCGAGAGTTATTGATCTCCTTGAAAGCATTTAAGAATGAACGATGAGAATAATAATTAATGATGGAGACATGGAATACTTGAATAAGTATCTGAATATAGAAACATGTGAACAACGAAGAGTCTGAATATAGAAGAAAATGAACAAACCAAATCTGAAAGAAAAAACATCGAGAGAGCTGAAAAAATTAGTATAATAATATCTCATTGTGATTGATATTTAAGAATTTATCATTAAATCTACTTAGATCACTTTCATTTCCATGCTGTATACCTTTCAAAAGTTATCAAAGTGATAGAGTTTATATTACCAGAGGGCGATCTCTCGGAGTTTGCCCTATGATTGGCCCTATATGTGCTGGCAGCCTGTCATAATTTTATCTAAATCCACGACTGATGCTCTCTGATTGACATTTGACCCGGGACAGCGCCCCAAAGCCGCCCCAAAAGTTCAGCCTGTCAAAAATGCTTCACAGCAGCAAAGAAAACAAAAAAGAGGAAACAAAAAGTGTGATCAGCTGCACTTGCTTCGTTGCCCCGTTGTTCCGTTGCCCCCGGCCCCTGCCCCTGCCCCAGCCCTTTGGCCTGTGTGGCATGTGTTTGTGGAGTAATTGATATGTGGCACTCCAGCACCACAGCACCACAGCAACCACTGCACCACCGAGTGGCAGCGGCAACTTTGCCCCAAGCACACACGCCATGAAATATTAGCCCGCCCTGTCATAAATGTCTGCCAATGTATCTGTGTATCTGTGTCTCTGTTTAGCTGTATCTGTATCTGTAGCTGCCACTGCAATTGTATCTGTATCTGTGGCTGTGGCTCTGCCTGTGGCTGTGGCTGTGTCTGTTGTAAAACATTTTACAGTTGCATTGGCTGCCACTTAAACGTTTCATAAAAGCAACCTTTGTAATGTCTGCGATGCAGCGCCCCAATCCTCTCCCTTTGCCTACTCTTCCCGTACCCTAGCCCCTCTCTCCGCTCGCTCAACCCTTTTGCAAAAGGAAAACATTTCATTGTGGTTTTCGTGTTGGTTTCTCGAAAAATAAAAACGGAAATTGTTTTTGGCGTTTTTCCTCATTTATTCATAAAACTGATCGTTGCGTTTTGATAAAATTGATTTATGCGGCGATCGACAACAATTATACGCAGATGCGGTGCCTAATGGATCGGTGGCAGCTACTCGGTTACTCGCCTGCTCGCCTCCAGCACACATCCAACTATATATGTATATAGACGTATATGTATATATCGAGGAATCGTGGAACTGGCATGGGCGAGCACTTTGTTCAGGCAATTATTAAATGAAACTCAAAGGCAACCCAACAGCAGCTGATGCTCTGTAATTGATCCTCATTGAGATCAAAGTGAAAAGCTGCTGAATGAGAATCACTGAGAGACAGAGAGAGAGAGAGAGAGAGAGAGAGAGAGAGAGAGAGAGGGAGAGAGAGAGAGAGAGAGAAAGACAGAGAGAGTATTCCTTTTAATCCAAATGCAAAGCACAGAGAGCGTCTTGCTAAGGAACAAACTTATGATGTAGATGTAGAGCAGAAAGATCCTTTCGAATCTTGAGTATGGTAAAAGATAATACTCATATTGAGAATCACAAAGAGCGGCAGCTGAACAGGAATGTCAGAGAGGTTTATCAGACAGTATAGATGCCTATATTAATATACTGTTAGTTCAACACCAGGTTTTCCCTTATGGAAAATGTTCTTCAGGCCCAAAAATCGTCCTCATATTCCGTTTCGTTCTTAAACTTTATTTATTGTCCAGTAGTATGTTTATATATATACAAGAAGGTACTAGAGTTATGAGGCATTTCCATTGGCTAAAACGTAAGATCTGCATAGGTTGCAATAAGTTAGAATTTTCTCTATTGATAGGGCTGCTATTGCAGCTGCAGCTGCTGGCCGGTAGGTGGCCACATCATGTGGCTGGCCAGCGGTGGCGGCGGCAGTGGCAGCGACGTCGACTGCGACTGCGTCTGCGACTGTGAGGACTCTGGCTTGAGCTTCAGCTGCTTGGCGAAGCATTCGCCGTCGATGTCGCCGCGTTTCGATTTGTAGCGTCGATTCTGGAACCAGATTTTCACCTGTGTCGCGGATAGATTCAGCTTCTGCGCGATTATCTCTCGCTCGGCTCCAGTTAGGTATTTCTTCAAGCGGAAGCGGCACTCCAGCTCCAGGACTTGCGCCTGGGAGAAGAGGACACGCGGTTTGCGTTTCATGCGGGGCTTCCCAGAGGCATTTGTGCTATTGTTGTTGTTGTTATTGCTGTTGCTGGTGCTGTTGTTATTGTTGTTGTTGATGTTGTTATTATTATTGTTGTTCTTGCGCAACTCGGAGCGGGAGGATGTCACCTGGCTGTCCTCTGAAAATGGAAAATTGAAAGGAGTGTTAGGCATTAAGGAAGAGGAAATTATAGAGATAACGATAATAAATATACTATCGAAAGCAATCTATAAATTGAAATATGAATTTATCAAGAATGGATGAAACATCTATTCGAGTCCCCCTACAAGCGTCTTTCGGCTATAACTACAGTACTCTGAGTGTCGTTATATCCAGATCCTACTGTGCATTGGTTCTGTACTTAATCGCTTGGATCCCCTAAATTATAAAAGTGATCGTTTGACGGAAGTCGGACTGCTATTGACAATTTGAATAAAACAAAATTCTATTTTGATTGCGCTTATCTATCTAATATTAATAATAATAATCAAGATCTGGAATAGAATGATAGACTAATGCTATGATAAATTTAAAAATACTTGATTTCTGACGCTGATCCTTAAAGGATAACAATCTGACCAGCTTCTACATTTGATCTACCCAATTTCACTCAATTACAGGGTATTTCAGGGTACTCACTTTTCTTTGCGCACTCCGTTGTGGCGTTCATGTGCCGCGGGTCGAGCAGTCGCTGTGCTAGGCCGTTGCCATTGGCCAGCTTGTGGGTGGGGGCCAGAGACTCCACCTCCGTCGAGCTGTTCAGATCGAGTGTGGGCGAGGGCGTGACATAGGGCGTGGGTATATACTCGCTTTTGATGGCCGTGTTGGGCGCAATAATTGCCGAGGGACTGGCGTACACATCCGACGCATTGTAATTGTAGTTGTAGTTGCTCTGGTAGCCCCCTGCAGTGGGCGTGGCATAGAACTGAGAGGCGCTCACATTGTAGGGTGGCTGATAGCTCTGATGGGGATGCGGATGCGGATGTGTATGTGGATGAGGATGTGGATGTGGGTGGGCATGCTGCAGCATGTGACTGGGCATGCCATAGTCCTGGTGATAGCTGGCGTAGAGCTGATGGTGTCCATGCGACGACGCCGGCGGCGGCAACAGCGGCGACAGCGCGGATGCTGCCAACGGATCCTGCTCTGGCTCGAGAAGATGTGACTGCAGATGATGCTGCTGCTGGTGCTGCTGCTGGAGTTGAAGCTGTGCGAGCTGCGCCTGGCTGGCCTGCTCGAGTGGATGCTGTAACTGTTGATGTTGCTGCTGCTGCTGCTGCTGCTGCTGCTGCTGCTGCTGTTGGTACTCAGCGGCGCCATAGAGCGCGGAGGCGCTGCAGGACAACGAAAGGAAGAAAAAACGAAAAGTGAATGCTGAGTTCTATTGGCCTGCTTAGCACATGTTGCATTCCGGCCGCGTGTCCTGCTGGCTCTACATATCCGGCCCCTTGGTGACATCATTTCATGCCTCATCACAATTACTGCACATGCGAATCACACATGTTGGCCAGGACGCAGGCAGCAGCTCAAGGTCCGGCGCGGCGCCTGCCTCGTTTGTCTCGTTTGCTTCGTTTGCCTGCCTGCCTCGTTCTCTGACTCTGACTTTGTTTTTCTTATTGTTAAAACTTTGCCTGGCTRCGGCTGCGGCTGCATTTTGTCTTTGTTTTCCGTCTATCGCCTTTCGTCTCCCGTCTCTGGCCTCTTGTACAAATAACAATGATTTGTCCTTTTAGTCCTATTTGCAATTCATGCTGCTCATATGTTTTTATAGGATTTCTTATACTATAACTCTCTCGCTCGCTCTCTCTCCTATCTATCTCTTCGCTCGCTTATCGTTTCCTCAGCCTAAAGGTTAGCATAATATTATTGTTTCGTGGAAAATTGGTAGAAATTAATTTCCTTGGCAGCCTTATTAAAAATAAATAATATAAAATACACAAGACCAAATTTGGCTTGTCCAAGACGCAGATTTGTAGAAAGGTTCGCTGACAACAGGTAGATGCACCAAGACCTTATTATGCTATAGATACTTCTTTTCTTATATACTACTATTGTAGTATAAGACCTGTCTTCCATTATGTCTTATATTATAGCTTTTCTACTGAATATATGCCTTATCATGATCATCTAAACAGTCCATTGTCTCACATACTATATTATATCAGAGCAAAACCAAAGAAACTTTGAGATTTTACAGAAACATTTTAAAAGTACAACATTATAGATATTTTATAATTCTGTATAAAATAGTATAAATAATTTTACATATATTATGTTATATTTTTTTTTCGAAATCATCATCTAGTAAAGCTACAACAAACAATTAAATAAAAGGTAATATTTCAACTTCTAATTAGAACTAATATTTACCCAATTATGAAAAATATCATATTTTATGATTGAATATATTTTCTAAAGCTGTATCATATTCCAGTTACATTGTTAGACAATCTCATGCCCAGCATAGGATTCTCCTATTCTGCGAACTGTATGTTCTTACCTCTCTAGATGGCCATAGGCGCCATCGTATGCCTCCGTTTGATTGACCATATTCAGTATATCCTTGACCGAGAATGGGGTTGTGTTTAGCGCATCCGCATTGGTCAGGCTGCTGGGGCTGGGCGTTTGATTGTAGTCATAGTAGACGGTAGATTGTGCCTGGTGCTGATGATGTTGCAACATTTCTTTGAATTTGATTTTAAATTTTTGTATTATTTACTCTTCCTTTTTTTTTTGGTTTGGTTTCTCTGTTTGTTTGGCTTTGCCACAATTTAAATCACTCGAGTGGGTCGCACTTTAAATTAAAATAAATACAGCAATTTGCCAAAATGCACTTGACTCGAACGGACTCGAGCGACACTTGACGATGCGAGAGAGAGGGGGAGGGCAGCAGCGATAATGCCTAGGTGCCAGGGGTTGGGGTGCTAACGTATTCGTCTTATTTGGCTGTGTAAACTTCAACGATGCGCCGTTCCGCTGCGCACTCGAGCGTGTCCTCAATTTGTCAGCGCGTTTTTCGTACTGAATGAAAATTGAATCTTTGCAGGCGCTGGCCAAACACCCACACAAACTCGCATGCACACATACGCATCTATGTTGCCTCCTCAAGAAAATGGCGGATCTATAGCCAATCACAGCGCAGCACAGGCCAAGCAGCTAAATGCTAGTGAGCCGCGTGCGTGTGTGTGTGCGCGTGTTTGTCTTGTCCCTTCCCTCTCTTACTGTTGTTGTTGTTTGTTCACAGCCTCTTCATGCAGATTTAATTTCGCTGCTTGAACTTAAGTATGTGTATTTATTACTGCAAAGTCCTTAAGTCATTTTTCTACACAAAAATATACATACAAATAATATTCCATGTTAATTGGCGCTTTTGAATCACTGATCTGATTTCAAGTGGAGCTCAAGTGCAGAATTTCGCACACTTGACTCAATAAACAAATCTTTGGTAGAATGAGTTTTAAAGTGTCACGGTAAAAATGAGGTATTGTAGCTACAAATAAATAAAATAATAAGTTTTAAAAAAAAAATTGAAAATATGAGTTATATAAAATATAAATRTWATAACTACATATTATTATTTATTTATTCAAATAATATTATAATGTGCAAGGAAAAAATAATTTGAATTTAACCACACCATAACGAAATAAAAGTACGAATAGAACATTACATATTATTATTCATTTATTCAAATAATATATAATATAAATTTAACAGATATTGTATTTTTTGTCAGTTACTTTGAATTTTTAAATTATTTTTTGCCTTTGCCAGCACTAAGCAGTGATGTATACGCGAAAACTATCGCGTGTATTGCGCATCGATATATCGATTATCTTGCAGCATACCTACCCAGTATAAAACTGTCGTTCATCCCTAGCTAGTATACATTTATTTCGTGGTACTCGTTGTAAAAGTTGGACGCAACTGCGCGTCATCCGCGCAGTAAAAGTAATTATTTTTAATTTGTGCTTAAACTAAGTATTTTATAATAAAATACATTTGAGATAGGTAAGTTATGCTCCTTTGCATATAGTAAATTATTGAATTTCGTATTTTTACGTTGATTATAATCAATGTGATAACTAAAAAATTGATGCCTCGGCACGCGTGAAAAATTTCCCAGTTTTTTTCACTTCTAAATTTTGTATGCGTCTGCATTTTTGATGTGGTTTGACATTTGTAAACAAATATCTAACCGCATCCAGCTTGCTTGCAAAAAATCTAACTTAAACTGATTTTCCCATCTTTGAATTTTTTTTCATCAGCACACACACAAAGCAGATACAGAAAATTCTATTGATTTCTACGCTCGTCCAAGATGGCGGACGACGAGCAATTCAGTTTGTGCTGGAACAATTTCAACACAAATCTGTCTGCTGGATTCCACGAATCGCTATGTCGTGGGGATCTGGTGGATGTTTCGTTGGCTGCGGAGGGGCAAATCGTGAAGGCGCATCGTTTGGTGCTGTCCGTCTGCTCGCCCTTTTTCCGCAAAATGTTTACGCAAATGCCATCGAATACCCATGCCATCGGTAAGTACCGAAACAAAACAGAAAAAACAGAAAGCAACTAGGAAGCAGTTGCCATGCAAGCAAATTCTTACATATTTCTCGAAATTTGCAGTTTTCTTAAATAATGTCAGTCATTCGGCATTAAAGGATCTGATTCAGTTTATGTATTGCGGCGAAGTGAACGTTAAACAGGACGCATTGCCAGCCTTCATAAGCACAGCAGAGTCGCTGCAAATAAAGGGGCTGACAGATGTGAGTATAAACCCATATACCTTAGCATTATACGAGAAGAGAACATCAAGCGCTGTTCGCGCGCGCAATACATACAAAGCACACACACACACACAGTAGGAATTGTCTGTATAAGAGCTGGTTTGACTGTACTCAGTTATAAAACGAAACACGCTACATACAGAGCGTTCACGCGCGACAGAGATGGCATGAGTATGCCACTGTTGACTGTGTATTTGTTTCGCTCTCTTTGCCAGCTTTAGATGGTATCAATATGCGCGCGTTTTGGTGGTTGTTTGCTATACCCTAACAGAGAGAGATAATCGCGCTTTTGTCTTGAAATATGTAACAAGTAGGTGGCAGAAGCGTGCGCGCGTTTTGGTGAATTTTTGCTATACCTATGCAATAAGAAATATCATTCTAAATTTGTATTGCTATTTGCAATACATATGAGGGTAAATTCTGTATATTTATATTTATTTAAAGATATTGATATAACTAGTCAACTAAAACTATAATTTAATAGCCTACAAAAAGTAGTGGCTATATGAGTATTTGGATTGGTTCATATGGTTTTCTCTATTGTATATTAAATGTATGTCAAATGTTAGAATATTTAGGCGCACAGTTAACCCTTGTTCTCTTCTCATGTGTGCCAGCCATATGTAAACATTGTTGAATTTTCCAGAATGATCCTGCGCCGCAGCCCCCACAGGAACCCACACCCCCACCAGCCGCACCTCATGTACAACAACAACAACAACAAATCCCCGCCCAGCGTGTACAACGTCAACAGCCTCGTACCTCTGCCCGGTACAAGATTGAGACCGTTGACGATGTTCTGGGCGATGACAAGGCCACCACACAAATCGTCATCCAGACAACAGCCGCACCACAAGCCACCATCGTACAACAGCCCCAGCAACAGCAGCAGCAGCAGCACATACAAACGCAGCAGCTGCAGACGGGCACCACAACAACAGCTACGCTGGTGTCGACAAACAAACGCGCGGCCCAACGGGGCAGTCTGATTGGCTCAGGTGCTGTAAAGCGCTCAAAGACATCCACCACAACCAGCACCGCCGCCGCCAACGTAATTGACCCACTGGAATCGACAACGGATACGTCTGCGAATGCCACAACTAGCACACAGCAGCTGGGAACCCAACAGATAACCGTGCAGACAACTGTGGTGGCCGCAGACACGAAAGTGCATCAGGTGCGCCAGCAGCAGCAACAACAACAACAGCAGCAACAGGCGGCCGCTCAAGAGGAAGCTGAATATATTGATCTCCCAATGGAATTGCCCACAAAGTCAGAGCCGGACTATAGCGAAGAGCATGCCGAGGTAGCGGGCGATGGCGATACGCCCTACGTAGAGGATGATGCCTACGGCGACATGCGCTATGATGACAGCTATTTCACCGAGAACGAAGATGCAGGCAATCAAACTGGTGGTAACACGAGCACCAGCATCGCAGCCACCACGTCAAAGGCCGTTGTCAAGCAGCAGTCGCAGAGCTACAGTGACTCTTCGTTTGTCGACACCGGCGCGGATCAAGGCAACACAGAGGCTCAAGGTTGGTTGACATTTTTACTTTTGCCCAATCCAGTCATCGACTGTCGATGGGCTATCATTAGGCATAGAAAAAGTATATAATCCCCAGGCAGTCGGACTTGTGAATTGCACACAGATTTTCCATACTTAATTGGCAAAATCCTTTGTAACTGTTTTTCAAATTGTCCATGTGTTGGCTTATTATTCGGCGTGCAGCTCAGAATTCGACTTTGGCCTTATGGCTATAAAAGAGCCCTTAAATCTGCTTCAATCATACGCTGCGATATTATCGGCGCTTCATCAACATTCAATGCATATTTAAGAGCTGTTTTATCAGCCATTTTAGTTAAGATAAGATTAGCTTCTGCTAGGTCGCCGCTCTATTTTTCCGAAAAGAGTTTGCGGTCGAGCAGCAGACCGAGGCAAAGTCATTTTGCTAAGGTAGCTGCTCTCGCGTTTGTGATTCGTTTGCATTTATCGCGAAGGTAAGTAGAGTGAAAAATACATGTAAAATCCGATGTCAGCTGAACCTCCCTGGATTTCGAAGAGCGTATCCCAGGACTGCTAGATCTTGGAGCTTAAGCACTGGAACTCTTATTGGAGCTGTAATCAAAAGGTACTCTGTTGATGCAGGTAATTCTATATTGTTAGATTTGTTGTATTTGTATTTTGCATTTCATTAACGTTCTTAGCTAGGACCAAAGCTGAAACCCCTGAAAATTTGTAGCCATCGTTAACGGATTTCGATGGGGCGTTGCCACCTGAAGGAAAATGTCAGAGCGTCGTCGGTGGTGGTATTTTTGCTTGTTTAAATAAGATGTTGCTTTGAATAGCCGCAGCAACGTAAAAGCTTGCTGACGGTGATTCGAGCAACGGCATTGATTGCCGAATCTTAAAATTTGTGCGGCTTATCGTTTTCCGGAAGTGAAGAAATTCAAATGGAGCTAAATTTATTTGGTGTTTCGATTAGTACATTAAGGCCAAGCAAATTAGTTTCGTTCTGTGGCACGTTTGTTCATAGCATACGTTTTCAATACGCATTTATCGTTTGGAGTTGCCACCATGTTGGTTTATTGTCAAAATGGCTGATTTTTTCGTGAAATTACCGTCGATGATTATGGCACGACTATTAGAAATTGGAAAGCTATTAAGTTTTCTATGTGGAATAATTGTGTGGGTAGTATAATGATAAATTTCAGCACTGGGCATACGTGGTTATTTATTTCAACTATTACATAACATAAAAGACCGGTACGTACAAGTTTATTATAATTGAATTAATATACATGTTATATTATGTTTAATATGATGAAATAAATGGGATTAAGATAAATAGTGTTGCCAGATCATTTTATTTTAATGGATGTTTTATGCTAGTGCAACTCTGCTCACAAAAGGTGGCAACGCCAGAGATGCTTTGGAAGACCAAGCTAAATACATATTTTTATTGGTTCGTTAATTTATTTTTATTTTGCTATACGTGCGTACATATACACAATTTTACGATTGTTTCTCTTATTGAATGTGCATAAGCAGCAGTGCAACGCTAAGTGAAAAGTGTTATGAGTGTTTTCTTTCTGTGAAATTAAGGCCAAGCTTGTGTGCATGCTTTCTGTGAAATAATTGTGAATCTGTACTGTAATCAAAAATATGTATAATTTTCTGTTGACAGCTTTGTTGTGGCTTGCCGTAAGTTGGATTGCTCCTAAACCGCCATTCCATATACCCAGTAGCATCTTGATAAATATTTGCCTACAAATAATTTTGTGTATGTGCTGGGTGGTTGTTCTTTGCTATAATAAAATGCTTAAAGCCAACACTGTTTAATGTGCGTTGTTTTATTTCAAGTAGCTAAGCTTAAACTGTAACTCGTAAATTTATTGCATTTAGTTTTAAGGCAGACATCTAACTCACACTCTTCTACAATTCTTGTTCACCCTCTGTATTTACATTTTGTATACGCGCTAATGCAGCTGGCAAAATCAAATTTATACGCAGCCAAAAGAAGAACGCGCAGCTAGTTTACAAGGATTACATCTACAACAAGAAGCTAACCCAGGCGAACGGCCAGACCACATGGAGGTGTGCAGATGTGCTCAAGCTGCGTTGCAAGGCGGTCGTCATCACAAAGAACGGAGAGTTCGTTGACGCACGACGTCAGCACAATCACGAATCCCATGTGAGTCGCATAGGACAGAGGCAGCTGTACAATGTGGAGGAGGAGCTGGACGAGTACATTGAGATATGCACATCGAACCCAAAGATATCGCAGTACTTGAGCAGCAGCAACATAAGCATCATGACCGCCAAGGATGGCAAGGAGTGCAAGCTGTACGTGCCCGCCTCGGAGGCAACAGAGATCGAGATGCAAGCGCTGGTCGACGCTGCCGACGACGAGGAGGATGAGATGATCGAGCAGGTCGTCGAGCTGAAGCCCATGCAGAAAGTGAAGCTGCAGCAGATGCTAAACTTAACCAAACCATAAAGCAAATTAACCTTTAAATTAAATTATACTATATTAAATGTCTCGTCAATAAAAGTCAAGCTAAAATCAAACTAGTTAGCACTTATATGATATATATATCACATATACACCATGAACTCTCGCCCTTTATTTAAATATCATTGCTAATTAGATATTTGTATCTCCCTCCTTTGCAGATGATGGCGAACTGCTCTTCATTGAGAGCCCCTGGTCGACGCCGTGCCTGGTCCTGAATGGCTTTATGTACAATTGCCACAGTAGAAAGAATAGCAAGGAGTACTGGCGCTGCCACAACTATTCCAAGAAGGTGCACGAGCAGCGCTGTCGATCCCGCTGCGTCCTCGAAAATGGCAAACTAAAGAGTATAACCGGAGGGCTGCACAATCATGCGCCGCACACCGAGAAGATTGAGAAGATCATTCAACGCAATCGTCTGGCCGCTGTCAGCACCACGTCACGCACGAAGCTGAATCGCGTGCCTTGCATAGCCCAGTACCAGGTGGAACAGCCTAAGCAGGAGCTGCTGATACAGCAGCCACAGCCGCTTCGCTTTCTGTCCACGGACGTGCAGCTAACCGACCGTGAATTAATGCACGCCTCACTAATGCTCATGCAGGACTAGGCAGAGGCGGCCACGGCTTTTAGTTTATATCGAGTGCAATTTAGTTTCTAAGCATGAATTAAAATAAAGCCCTACATGTTGTAGACCTTAGTTCAAGATTTATAGTCACTCTCTGTGCTCTCCAGTAGTAAGTGCCTAGCTATAATTAATGTTATCCAACGAACTCACATCTTGCCATTATTTTACAGAGCTCAGCTACAATTATCGTGGCCAGCTAGTCTACAAGGCTCACACGTACAGCTGCCACTCCAAGAATGTGCCGCGTTGCATGGCCTTTTGGCGTTGCAGCTTCCACAAGAAACTGGGCTGCAATGCTGCGCTGACTACCAGGAGGAAGGCAATCACTGGGCTGCGAGGCAGCCACAATCATGCGGCACCACAGCCACTAAGAACGTTCATACCCAGAGTTTACACGCCATAGATATTGTGTAATAGTAAATGCCTTTAATAGTTTATGGACTGATTTAAAGAGTTGTTCCTTTTCTTGCAGATTCTCACTATGGCTACTCTTTGATAATTTCAACGATCAAGGAATTTCGTCTTTAGTCTACATTAAAACAAGACTGCAGAAATTTGCATAATGATTTTGTAAAAACAGGGAAGAAACTATTCTAATCATTAGGATTAATAAGTACAGTGCTGGACATTTATGCATAGAAGTTTCAAAGGATAAATATTGTAATATTAATTCTTACAGAGACTGTCCTACGAATTGTCAGATCCTTTCGACATGAGAGCTTGATAACAGACATGAAAGATTGAGAGGCAGATGCTATATATTGAATTCCCTATGTTCGTACTTAATAAAATCTTTGTCTACATAAACTTTGTCATGTAATCCTACACACTTCCTATATGGGACCTAGTTTAACTATAGATAGAATATAAATTCATATCCATTCCCAGACATAATTCTAAACTAAGAACTCGTCTCTTGCAGAATACACTTACACACACAGAACACGAACTCCGAATGTGAGCAACACCTTTGTAGTACGACGTGATCCTCAGCGTGTGCCCGTGCCGCGGGTGAACATCAAGCAATTGCTGCCAGAAGCAGGAGCTGTTAATCGACGGACTGTTACGCCAACAACTATAAGTTTGAATATAAGTCCCGTTAAATCTGTTGTCCACGTTGGGGAGCCCGTGAGAGCCAAATTGAACTTAAGCAATCCGGAGAACATCTTACGTACATCTAGCAATCAGCACAATTTTGTATTTGTGGGTGTGCCCCGTATGAAGGGCAAATGCGTGACTTGCCTGAAGAAGGGCATATCCAATCTGCAACGTCTGGCCACCTGTTGTGACACCTGCCCCGGCAGCAACTGGATGTGCGAGCCATGCTTCGAGGAGCTTCATTAGCTGCCCACACAATTCGGCTATATATACTCGAAACAGTTTCATTACAGAACTATGTTTGTGTGTCTATATCAATATTTGATTTGATGAGGAAGCTATAGTTAAGTACATATATAGTATATGCAGGCAATAGGATTTTGCTTTACCATTATTTGCGTTCTTGTATTCCGAGATATTTGCAGCTCAATAATTTCATAACCTTTCTGTTCGATTACTATTTGAATTCATGTATTAAATAAGCTGATTGTGAATTTTAAATAAAATATATTTTCAGTAAGAAAACGAGGACATAATCTCTCGATTCTAATCTCAATTGTTGACTTGTCTTGAGTTCACATTGCACAATATATATTTATAGATTCCGATATATGTATGTATATTCTTCTTGGCTTATCCTAATTCTTATTCTCAGCTCGTATAAATAGGCCTTATAAAATATAGACATTTGTTCATGTAGAAATCGGATTCCTATATACTTCGTTCAACTTAAGATTGGCTCGCAGTTTGTCGTTGTTTGGCACGTTCGTTATGTCGCCGGCAGATCTGATGATTGTGTGGGCCGTGCAGCACCTCCAGAGTTTCACCTTTGGTGCGGACGCGTGCGCGACACTTGGTAGTGGAACGAGTGGCGCAGATCCACTTGGTGCCGCGACTGTTTTCCATGAACTTCACATAGCTGTGGCCGCCATAGTTCAGTTTGATGGACTTCCTTTGGCCCTTGGTGTAGTAGAAGACAGCCGCTGAAAGAGACGGAAATTGATAGAGAGAGCGTGTATGGACATAGGAAAGCAAGTGGGGTTTACATTGGGTTGGGTTGTAGATTATACATGTATATCGAATCACTCGGTTGCTGTTGAAGCCTTAGCTAAGTTTATTAAAATTGCGTTTACTTGAATAATGTGTAATGTGTACATGCACTATAGAAGCTAGAATGTATTAATAGACACTTTAATTATTACGAACTACAGACACCCTTCTCCTTCTCCTTCTGCTTTTGCTTGTGCTCGTCCCGTTCGTGCTCACTTCTTGCGACTCAGCACGCGTGCATGCGTATGTCCTCCCACAATGCCCGTCACGTCGGCCACGATCTCCTCGTACTTTAAATGCATGCCCAGATCGTTGACGTCGATGGTGCCCGCTGCCTCGTCACTCAGCGCTGTGCCCAGCATCGCATCGCTCGACAGCTGCTGCGTGTGGTGAAGGTGCTGCTGTTGTTGCTGTTGGTCGTGCTGCACCTGCACCTGTGGCTGCTGTTGCTGCTGTTCTTGCCTAGATGCGGCTGCTGTGGAATACGTCTTGGCATTCGCATTGCTCTGCTCCTGCGCAGGTTGGATGCGCCTCACTCGCTTCTTCCGTCGCACAATCTCCTCGTGCGTGTGGAATCGATTCAGTGGACAGACAATGTCGTTGATTGTGAACACTCGGGATCGGCACTTCTGATTCCACCATTGATTGCAGCGCCAGTAGCGCTTCTCCTCGCCCGTGGACAGTTTCAGAGTCTTCTCGAAGATGAATGGCTGGCCGCCATAGATGAGCTGCATGCGACCCCGCGACGTGGCCGAATATATCGCGACGCTGTTCTCTACACACGCGAAAGTAAACAAATAATCAATTAGTTAAACTTATTGCAAATAAACTTAACCTAGTAATATAATGAAATAAGTCTTATTCAAGTCGTTTCGCCTTAGGGCGTACATATATTTTCGTTCTCAGCTTAAACTCTAGAATCTTGCAGCATGCGTGCGATGCGCTTCGAGGGCGGATGATTATGCTCCGGCCGGGTCAGGCACACCTTGTAGCTGCCGTTGAGCAGTTTCGTCGTGGACAGCCGAGCATTGCAAGGCGGCAGTCCAGTGCGTCGTATGCGGCAGTTCCAATAGGTAGTCGGGCCGTGCTCGTTGTTCTTCGCATATGCGTATTGGCTGTAGAGCAGCTGCACGGATTTGCGCTGGCCCCGAATGAAGCGCAGTTTAGGGGACTTGACCGGCGAGCGCTTTCCCTGCGCATTGGTCACTATTTCCACGGTCAGGTAGCCAGAGAGCTCGTCTGCAAATCGAAGAGAGATAAATACATTAGTAGAAGGAATTAACTGGTGTAGTCGCTATCGTAAATCAATTAATCAGCAATGAAATTAAATCAAATGAAGGAAAATCACATTTTATTTTGTGTCTTCGCCACCTAAGATTAGTTTGATTTGCCACCCTTGGCGGTGCGTAGGCCTTCGCATTGCGGATTGCGAGTGAGGCACAGTTTCCTCGCATCTCCTGCGGCCCCCTCCTGCTGCAGCAGATACATAGGCGTGTGCGTGTGCTTGTGGCTGGTCATGTGAATCAGATCGCCCAGGTCGCTGATCCGCGTGTTCAGGCGAGCACGACACTTGGCCTTGTGGTACATGGAGCACTTCCAGTCCCGTGATTTTTGCCCCTCGCGCAGCTTCTCGTTGGGCGTGTAGGTGTTGCCCTCAAAGAATACAAGATCCGTGCCGCGACTCGATCTCACATACTGGGCCAGATTGGCAGGAGGCGTGCCTAAAAGCAGCAAGAGAGTGAAAATGGTTAAACAAATGCTTAACTTTAAATGGTTGTATTATTATTATTTATATTATTGATGGGGGTATGTATATTATTAGTGAAAAGCAGGCGACTCAATTTGCATACGAAAAACGATTTATTATACATGTGTGTGAATGTGTGTGTGCGTCTGTATGTGAGAGTGTACTTGTTCAAATTAACGACGTGCGTTTGTGATTGTGACTTGCGTTGCGCAGCTGCAGCTGCCCCGTCAGCTTGTTCTGAATGGCGCGGGCTCGACACTGGCTGCGGAAGTTGGAGCACTTCAGATAGCAGCGGTAGCGCTGCTGGTAGCTGATCACAAATCGATATCCATCGATGAGCAGACAGCCGGCGCGCCCCTTAATGCAGATGCCTCGTCGCCTGGCAGCTGCGTCATGCAAAGGCAAGAAGTGAGCGAAAGAGAATGGATTAGTAAAGCATGATGAGCAGCACGTGGGAAGTTAGTCATATATAGATCGAGATTGTCGACTGTTACAATTGAATATCGCTTAGAGTTATGTATGTACAGAGCTGCTGTTTATTACGGCCTAGTTCGAGACTTGTGCATTTGGTAAAGATTGCTGGGATGATTGTGTTTGCGGTGACTCAGCTTGATGCTGCGATTCGAGTTGGTCACGCACCGCGCCGGGCAGCGCAGCTTCACGTTGCCATTTTTCGCGCAGACCCAGTTGATGGTCGTCAGATACTTGCGTTCCACGGTGTACATATATCCATTGTACAGGAGATTCTGGCCTCCTCGACGATTGGCCACAAGGCGATAGCCACTGCCGCTGCTGCTGCTGCTGCTGCAGCGTGCCAGCCGAGGATCACCTGCAAAGACCGGAAATAGTTAGCTTTGGGTTGACATAGAATGTGCCTCCGACCATAAAGAATTGAAGTTCATTTCTTTTAAATTTGAACAAAAATCAGATTTATTTGTGTCTTGCTTTCTATGGGTGATTGTGCTGCCCACGCAGAGCGGATATCTGATTGGATTTGGTCACTACTCTAGCCGTGCACTTGATGTATTTGCAGCGCAGCTTCACGCACTCCCAATAGCAGGCGTCCTTGATCCTGCGGTTCAGAGTGAAGGGCTTCCCATTGATGGTCAGCAAGTTGTTGCCGCGATTGCTGCGCGTGAAGCAAACGTCTAAATGATCGAAGCTCTCCTTTCGGCCCAGTTTACGTTTCGGCAAGGGCAGCTGGATCTTATAGTCCGTTAATGAGTCTGAAAATGCAAAGTTTACAGTTAGCGTTGAATCTATTCAAGACTGTTCACTGGCCTTAGGATTAATCAAAATTCCATCCACTATATTCAATAATTATTTGATTTTATTGATTTCTTTTATATATTCAAGCATACATACTTAGATTCTAGATAAACTTAAATCTACTTTAACAATAACATTTGTTGTTAAAATTTTTCATTTTAATTTAGTTTTGATAATAATTGATTATGCATAATGATATATATATTATGATCTTACCTTACCTTTTAATACATATATTTTAATTGATGTAATAATGCGACGTGTTTATATCATGTTTATATGGCAGCTGCCCAGCGCTTTTTATGAGCGTTTAAAAAGTATTTCGCGATTTTGTAACTTTACACACAGTGTGCACTATAATTATTATATTATCAAATTTGTATAGCATAGTATTCGTAGTATTCGTGAGATGCCCTTCATTTGCATTAATATAGAACTTCTGATTTAAGGTTTGATTATCATTAACATATGCAAATTTTATAGCGCTGTGGACAAAATGTGCAATAATATGAATAGCATGACTGCGGCTACCATAAACATTATTATGGCGCATAGAAATATTATAGCACAAGCTCGTTTAGATGCAGTCGCACCGTAATGTTGCTGACATTTTAAATAATTGTAGTTTACAGCGAAGTTATAAGGGAGATCATAATCGTGGCGCTAAAGACCTAAGCATTTTGTAATACCATTTCAATTCTGAACGACCAAGCTATTTGCATTTAATTTAGGGGGGATAATGAGGTAAATAGTGTGTAAATTGCATTTTATTAACTTATCGATTATCCACACATAAACAATGGCACTCCTAGGGTTTCGTTTTGAGATCCCAGACAATTTCGCAGATGCGATGCCATAATTTGTACACAAACATTTTTTTATTCTACAAACAACACAAACACAAAGATACCACACATACATATATTTCGTTTGACTTCATTATTACACAAGTACTACGTACTCTTGCACTTTTACTCGATTTGCTTAGCGTACATCGATATTTTCTGTACGGGTTTCAATTTGTATGTTTTTTTCTAAACAAAGTTACAATTATTTCTTGGAGCAATTACTACAATTCTGTTTTCTCAACTGCGGCGAATCTTGGCGTTGCCACATAGTTTGGCAGCGCTGCCACCCATTTCCCGCGCTAAGCAACCCTGTGTAGCATTTTTATTGCTTGTACGGGTGTGTGTGTACTCACAGCAGCTTGCTCAGAAGACAGATATCTTTTTCAACTTTGTTGAAATGTGAATTATTAAAAATATTTTGCATTGTATTTTAAATTGTGCATTTATGTAATTAATATTTCGTTTATTGCCATAATGTGCATTGATGTTACTAAAATAATACGCACGTCGCGTGCACACAGACACGTTCGCTATGTAAATGTAGGATATCTTTATAAACATATTTATTATAAAATGTTAAATAAAAACTGAAGGAAACGTTAAATGTGTTCTTTTTTTTATAACTTAAATTATTATTTTTTATGTTTATTGTTGACAATATCTATGATGCAATAATATCAATATCTCGTGTACACTTGCAGGAAACAAAGGCAAGAAAAAGAAATCAAAGGAAAAGGAAACGGATATAACCATAAAATTAGAAAAGGATGCACCGATACCACTATTTGCCGGCAGCAACGTGTTTGTGTCGAAAACTGATTTAGCTAAGCTTTATGTGCCCATTCCGCCGATATACACGTCACGTGTTACCGATCTGGTCATTGGTAAGGACAAGCTGAAGCGCATTGCTCTGGGCGAACAGCAGCCAGAAAAGGAAACGTTCCATGCCATCATAAGTATATAGAGAACAGACCGCATTATTATGTGAATATGTATTTATGTATATGATTTCTGTTCCGTCCACAGCCCATGTATGCCAGGTGTTTGCCCGGCGCGGCGACAAGCTGAAGGAAGCCAATGTCCAGGAGTACATCGATCACAAATTGGCCACGATCAAAGTAAACCTGGCTAACTCAGGCAGTAGCTAGAAGATTCTATTTCTCTCTATATTACACAAGAATTGCCACTTTGTATGTTTAACTGTTTTAACTGAAATAAAATGTTGTAGATGAATTTGTTAATACCCTACTATATATATCATCCAGCCCGTTTGTGATGTGTAAACCTTGTCTCTCCATATGTGTATTCTAACTCTTAACCCTGCCTCTAACATCTGTTCAACATGTTCTCTCTACTTGTAGGTGTAATGCAGTCCATCAAGGCGCTCTTCGAGGATAAAAACACCAGCACCAATATACAATACACTACAACGCAGCGCGGTCGCATAATGCTCATCTACAACGGTTACAGATATGTGGTGAACAGGCAGAGCTTGAAAAACGTGTTCTGGCGCTGCTCGCGCTATGTGAAGCATTGCTGTCGTGCCACTTTGGTCACGTCCAAGGTGAACGACGTCACTTTGCGTATTGCCGGCTCTCCCCACACCCATGGCCCAGAGGTGAAGGCCGACGAGTGTAGTTCGCCGGAGTTCACTGTAGAGATTATTGATGAGCTCTCCGAGCTGCAATAAAATGATATTTAATATTTGACACTCATCTTTGTTTAGCCTAAGACATCTATAACTGAAAATAAATGTATTTAGACACATGAAAGTCTTCATGTTCTCGTTTCACTATCGCACGCATCAGTTAAGCGAGCGTATTTACTAATCTTCTGCACTTTCTATTTTCAGTTGATGTCAAAGTGGAGCTCAGTTCGGAGGCATCAGCGACTCCTACGCCTGTGTTGGAGACCGACGCTTGTGTGGCCGCTTTCGCTGCTGCGTATCTGAGCGACGACGACACCATGGCTATAAGGAAGCCGTATACACTGCCGAAAATCCTTGATGGTAAGTTCTATAAGAATATACAGCCCAATCAAAAGACGCCCGGCGCCATACAGGCTACCTGCACCAGCTGCTATGGCCTGATCTCGGGAACCACTAAGTCGACGGGCAACTTCCTCAGCCATATCAAGCGACGCCACAAGGAGCTCTTGCCGCTCTGTCAGCTCTACTGCCAGGCCAAAAGCAATGTCAGTGGGAACGGTTTGAATGCCAAGCCTGCTATACACAATGCAATGTCTAGTGCCATGGAGCAGCAGCAGCAACAGCAGCCACCGCCGCCGCCTGTGCCGCAAGCGTATGCCACGAGCACAGCTCATTTGGCCGTGCCCATGCCGTTGCCTATGCCGCTATCCATGCCGGTGACCGTGCAGGCGCCGCAAATGATGGCACTGATGCACCACCAGCATCACCGGCAACAGCCAGGCGCGGCACTGCCGCAGCTGCAGACCATCAATTCTGGCCACGGCGCCGTCTACATTAGCAAGGAATACTAGCCAAGGCTGCGTTGGAAGTCGTTGAGTACCTATACCTAAGTGCAACTTTGTCAAAGTCTTTGATAAATATATATTTTGTATAAATTGTCAATTAATCTAAGTTTTAGTTATAATGCAAAATCAAAGTTAGTTGAGTAAGTTTCTATTTAAAGTTAGTTCAAGATGTTTGTATATAATTAGTTTTAGTCTAGTTGCAAAGTGAAGATGCTTGTATATAATAAAGTCAATAATACACCTTTCATTTGTATGAGGCTTAATTTTAAAGTTAAGACTTAGAGTTAGTTGTAACCAATTAAGTTAACTTCTCTTTGTATACAGTTATATATACACCGGCCAGCAATACAACGAGCCCTCAACTTCTCTATTGAGAAACTTAAAATCTGCTTTTAATGTCTCAAAAGCTTTTTCTTTTCAATCTCTTGCAGCTGCAACCGGAAGACAAGAATATGATGTAACCAATTGGATGAATGCCAACAAGTCATTCAAGGCCCACTCCTGCAAGGATAAGGTCAGATGGAATAACGAATATCAGAAACCGACCTTTGTGCTGGAACACCCAGTACAAATGGGGTTATACAAAATCTGTGATTTTATATGTAATCAAAGAAAGCATCGAGACCGTCAAAAGTCAATTGGGGCAAAGTGGATTTGTATTTCTAGATGTAATCCTTAATTTGTCAAATCGAACCAAAAATGTAAGGTGGAATGCAATAAAAATATGTTAACTTCACTGATTCATTTTTATTAAGCTTTCAATAGAGTTTGAGCTTAATATGTTGAAATTAATCAAAAGTGAAAAATTTGTCATTTCAGCTCGCTCTCGCAGGCGCAAGTACAGGGACTACGACGGCACTGCAGTCTTCGTGCCCACCGCTCGAAATCATCCCAAGCTGATAATTGGCCAAAACCAGTTCATATCTCACCGGGGCGTCGGCAAGATTGGAACGTGGCGCTGCTCGCAGCACTCGAAGGGATGCAAGGCGCGTGTCTTCACCTTTGCCATGGGCACAGAGATCAAATACCGTTTCTCGTGCGCCGCCCACATACATCGCAATGTTAACACAAAGTCATCCTACTCCAAGAAGAAGCAGCCCAAGCAATTCGTTAGCCAGGAATAAGAAGTACAAGAAGTGCTTAGCCATATTTGAGGTACATTCGATTTATAGTATGTTCAATGTTTTATTTTGCTCTTGATTGTCCTCGTATTGTCTCTGCATAATTTTACCTACATATATTTAAATGTCGAAAAGTGTAATGGATAGTAAATTGAAAGTGCTTAATGATACAGTAATATGATTTAACCAAGTGTAATATACGCATATATACGGGGTTATCCATATTCGACTGACCCATGTTTTTTCTGTTTACTATATTTATGTTTACTAAAATTATCATTTTATTTGGTTCAAGTAGATTTGTTGACATCACTTTTTGAATAAGGCATCTCTCAAATGGGGGCATTAAGAATTAAAGGCGTTTTGTGCCCGCTATGCAGAATTTTCCATAGTTATGGCTAACATTTCGGCTGGAAAAGAAGGATCTATGAAAACCATTTTGAAAGACCATTTGAGTCTACGAAAAGTCAAATCTCGTTTCCGAAGATGAGATTT